CAAGCTCCTTACCACTTCTCAACGTGATGGCCTTGGTGGACTCAAAGGATTAGGCTAAGTTTCTGAAATCAAATTGGGACAAAGATTGTGTAACCAAAACCCAAGTGGAATGGGTTAAAACAATCAGAAACCATTAGGTTAGAAAGGTGTGGCACAGATTCCTACAAGGAAAGGGATAAATTTGGCCTAATTCAAGAGGGAAAAGGATTAGGGTTGCAGGTTCTAGAGCTTCTAGAAGAGCTTAAAGGATGCGGCACCTAAATAGGGGTTCTAAAAGGAATGAGGCATCACTTTTGTAGGAGATAAGGCTTCTAGAATCTTATTTTTATGTGTCCAAGTCTAAAAATAATCCCCCCTTGTAGCTGGAATTAAGGCAAGAAAGGATTACGATAGGATAAGATAAGATAAGGTTAGTTTGGATAAGATAAGGTTGGATAAAGTTTTGGATAATATCCCCTTCTTTTGAGCTGATTCCTTATCTTCATTGTGTTGGATTTATTTTCTTCATCTTTTTAGCACATTCCTAACCTCTTGAACTTCAAATTCGTCCATCCATCTTGCTCCACTCATAAGCTATCCATTTGATGCCCAAAACTGCCTCAAAATGCTCCAAATTGCACTTTCTTGCCAATTTTGTCATTTGGACCTACAAATACACGAAAATAGTTTAAAACACTATAATAAACACAAACTAACTATGGAAATGCAAGGAAACAAGCTAACTAAGTCGCATAAATATGCTCCTATCAACTATGCCCATGCGTGTTCATTAAGAAGTCACATTCTAGATTTTCAATCGTTGCAGTTTATGTCAACGACATGAACCTCATCGGAACTCCCATAGAGCCTAAGGAAATTGCCACGCACTTGAAATCGGAATTTGAGATGAAAGATCTTGGGAAAACTCGATATTGTCTTGACTTGGAGATCGAGCATTGTTCGAATGGAATCCTAGTACGTCAATCGAACTACACCTAGAAGGTGTTGCGACATTTTAATGAGGATAAAGCGAAGAATTAAATCTCTCTCTTTTCTTTCTGTGCCGCCGGCCCCTCTCCCTCTCTATCCTTATACAGTTCAGTCAAATAAGCCTACAACAGATACATTATTTTTACTATAATTATGTGAAGAATTATATTACTCTACTGTTGATTTTTAAGTAATTGTTATATTGTAAAATATTATTTGAATTTGTTTAAATTTCATAATTTGTGAGATATTGAATGCATAAATGCAGGAGTTAAACTCCTTAAATAATGCTAGGGACTTTGAACAAATTATTTAATTAAATAAGTTTTTATTCTAACAATTTGGTTGACTAAGGACTAGAACCAAAATGACCCTTATATTAATCTCAACCTTTACTAGATATAATTGAATCCTTAAATTGAGGAAGGGATGAGATTCCATAAAAATGGCAATAAATGAATTACTATTATTCAAGTGCGTTTTTGACATAGAAATGAATTGAAAATGAATGTGAAAAACACTTAAATTAAGACTAAACTTTTTTAACAAATTAATTAAGATACTTGGAAGCACTTTAATTTAAAGTTGGAAAGTAACAAATATATAGTAATTATAATTTTCTCACTCTTAACGGGTTGTGTCATTTTACTTGTTAATTTTAACGGGTAAATGACACGTCCTATTAAGAATCCATTACCATAATGGGTATGGCATAACATGACCCGTTAAAATAACAAGTAATACACTAAAACGACACGAACATTGCAAACACGACCTGTTCGCCACGCTACCCCACTATATAACCTCTCTTTTCTACTCTTCTTTTGGACATTTTTGGAAAGATTTCATATTCCTCGTGCATCTGTTCCTTTCTCATGATATATAGGATAGAATCAAGGGACAAATATTTTGACATTGTTTTTAAACCTTTAGATTACAAAACATCCAAAGGTTCATATTCATTCATTAAATGACATGGATGCTTAAGTGGATTTTGACTAATATTAAACATAAAAATAAAATTAAAAAGGAAGAAACTCTAGTTTTAAGTGTGCAAACAAGAAAGGAGGTAGAACTCCATTGATTCGAAGTATTGTAACCTCCTTCTTTGTTGATGAGGTCTGCAACTTTCATAGGATTGGTATGAAATTTTGATGCCTTCTACAATGAATCAAGCTATTAGTCTCTTGAATCTTCATTACATAAGCAAAATGTACAAAACCCTAAACCCTAATCCGTATATTATTGTTCATATATGTAGGGTGATTAAATTAGGTTTTGCAAAATCTTTTTAGTTTTGTTGATTTAGATCATTGATGATTTTTGTATTTTTTTAGCTTTTCGAATAAAACAAACAACTTGATTTCATTCGTCTGCGCTTTTAATGTTTAATTTTTAAATTTTATTATTATAGCAGTTTCGTTTCTGTTGAGTATTAATCTTATGCTTGGTATCACTTTTTTTTTTTTGAAATCATTCCTTTTTGTTATTTATTACGGTTCATTTTGTATAAAATGAAAGAGGAGATTTCATCCAAGGCATTGCAAGGAGGGAGATTGTCACATCCCGACCCGGGCCCCCACCACATCCCGGACCCTCACCACATCCCGGGCTCAATTCCACCGTAGCATGATATTATCCACTTTGGCCCCGACCACCCCCTTACGGTTTTGTTTTTGGGAACTCACGTGAGAACTTCCCAGTAGGTCACCCATCACGGGATTGCTTTCATGCGAACTCGCTTAACTTCGGAGTTCCGATGGAACCCGAAGCCAGTGAGCTCCCAAAAGGCCTCATGCTAGGAAGAGGTGGGCATGTACATATAAAGGCTTAGAGGATCCATTCCCCTAGGTGATAAGGGATGTTACAATCCACCCTTCTTAGGGGTTTGACGTCCTTGTCGGCACATTTCCGGTAAGGGATTGGCTAGGATACTAAATTGTCACATCCCGGGCCGGGCTCCCATCACATTCCAGGCTCGACTGCACCGTACCACGATATTGTCTGCTTTGGGCCCCAACCACGCCCTCACGGTTTTGTTTCTGGGAACTCATACGAGAACCTCCCAGTGGGTCACCCATTATGGTGGGATTGCTCTTGTGCGAACTTGCTTAACTTTGGAGTTCCGATGGAACCCGAAGCCAATGAGCTGTCAAAAGGCCTTGTGTTAGGAAGAGGTGGGCATGTACATATAAGGCTTAGAGGATCCATTCCCCCGAGCTATGTGGGATGTTACAGAGATAGAGGTTACAGTATTTTCATTTTTTTTATTTTATTTTCTACTTTTTTACACTAGGTTCGAAGTTTGATTATTGGTTTTTTCAATTTTATCGTATTAGATATTAATTTTCAATTTAGATTAGTGTTTTTTATCAGTTATAATCCACATCATCATCCAAGTTATTTAATGTTTAAAACTCTCCACATCACTCTTAATCTAGACCGTTGAATGTTATAAAATCTAAAGGCTACAAGGAAGTGTAAAAATGAAAAAACCAATAATCAAACTTTGAACATGGTGTAAAAAAAATCAGAAAATAAGAAAAACAAAAACATGAAAAATACTTTAACCTCCATCTCCCTCCCAGCAATACCTTAGATGATATCTCCTCTTTCATTTTATAAAAAAATGAACCCCAATAAATAACAAAAAATGAATGATTTAAAAAAAAAAGAGGTGAAACCAAGGATAGGATTAATAATCAGCAGAAATGAAACTAGTATAATAATAATAAAAAAAATTGAAAGCATAGACGAATGAAATTAAGTTGTTTGTTTGATTCGAAAAGCTAAAAAAAAGTAGAAAAATCATCAATGACCTAAATCGACAAAACTAAAAAGATTTTGCAAAACCTAATTTAATCACCATACATATCTGAACAATAATATACGGTTTAGGGTTTTGTATGTTTTGCTTACGTAATGAAGATTCAAGAGACTAAAAGCTTGATTCGTTGTAGAAGGCATCAAAATTTCATATCAATCCTATGAAAGTTGCAGACCCCATCAGCAAAGAGGGAGATGGAGGTTACAATACTTTGAATCAATGGAGTTCTACCTCCTTTCTTGTTTGCACTCTTAAAACTAGAGTTTCTTCCTTTTTAATTTTATTTTTAATTACCTTCCATATTTTATGCTTTTTGAATTTTATTTTTATGTTTAATATTAGTTAAAATCCACTTAAGCATTCATGTCATTTAATGAATGAATATGAACATTTGGATGTTTTGTAATCTAAAGGTTTAAAAAAATGTGTAAAAATATTTGTCAAAATGTTTATCCCTTGATCATGTCCCATATCTGTACTATTATTAAGAGAACCCTCCTTGTCAACTTTTAACCACTTTTTTCCTATTTGGCCCTCACTTTTGATACACAATACTTACATAAGGAGGACAAAATAGTAATTTTGTATCTTTTGAAAAAATGACAATCATATCCCTATTTTTCCTATTTTACCCTCACTTTTGATACAAAATATTTACATAAGGAGGACAAAACAATAATTATGTAATATTAAGATAAAATATGCACTTATTAAGAGAAATTGTCTCATCATCATTTTTTCGTACTCTTTTTAAAATTTTAAAAACTAATCACACTCCTTAATAAAAAACAAAAAATAAAATAAAATTGTTCACATACACAGAATGTGTGTTCATCGGCGTGTGTGTGTCTATATATATATATATATATATATATAAACATTCGGTCTCTAACCATTGATATTCATTAAATGAAACTTTATTTGGTTTTAAATTATGATCAAAGTCTGTTGACATTGACATTGTAAACGTCAACATTTTTGCATTTAAAACATGACACAATTTTGTTTTGTTTTGTTTTGTTTTGTTTTTTTTTTTTTTGTTTAATTTTCGGTCAGATTTTATATCACCCGTTAAGTATAATTAATTCATTTACTTTCCGGATTTGATAAGATTAGTGAGGTCTAATCAATTCTTAATTATTTTGTAGGAAAAAAACAAACTATGATTAGTTAAACCAAAGAGTCTATTTAAAACCTATTTTGTGCAACTGAAGTCAGACTCGTCTTCCTGGTCGTCATCTTGTTCCTCTTTAGCTGGTGTCACATATTTGAAGGGGAAAAAAAAAATCAGTTTTGAGTTATATAACTAGCTTCTTCATCAGTGGATTAATCAGGTTTGGCATAAATTAATGTCATCAGAAGGCAATCCTGATCCTGATGCACCAACCAACACAATTCCAGGCGGGTCATCCTCCGCCGCTAGCCGGCCTCGAGGCCGTCCTCGCGGAGCAAAGAGCAAGCCCAAGCCACCCATCATAATCACACAAGATACTCCAAACGCGCTCACATCTCATATTTTTGAAGTTTCCTCCGGTTCAGACATTGTTGACTCGGTGAAGACCTACGCCACCCGCCGTGGCCGAGGCGTTTGCGTGCTGAGCGGCAGCGGTGCAGTAACTAATGTCAACCTGCGCCAGCCAGCCACAGCAGTACTACCCTTAGGAAGTAGTAGTCCTGTAGTGGCGATGCACGGTCGGTTTGAAATTCTATCTCTCACCGGCACGTGCCTGCCTCCGCCGGCCCCACCTGAAGCCAGTGGCTTGGCCTTATTTTTGGCTGGTGGGCAAGGACAGATTGTTGGAGGGAGTGTCGTAGGGCCCTTGAGGGCTTCAGGGCCTGTAATCTTGATTGTGGTTTCTTTTGCTAATGCAGCGTGTGTGATAGGTTGCCGCTGGAGGAGGAGGAGTAGGAGGCTCCACCGCCGCCATTGCAAGCGGCGGCTTTGCAATCTTTCGAAGTGACAGTCAGTGGCATTGGTGGGGATGATTATAGTTTGGGGGGCTTGAGAACTTTTCCTGGTGATGTATGTGGTTAGAATAGTGGGAGTAGTTAGATCTTGTGCCTCAAAGGACAAGAATGCATGGATTGTTCTTCAACGAGTTCATCTAATCTGTAAATCCATGTTCATATTGTAAAATCCATGCAGCTGACATTGTATAATTAATTTCTCATCTTTAATTTTCTAATTCTGTGAGATTTATAGAAGCTTAATTTTCTACATAATGCATATAATGTTTCCATTGAACTATTTTTCTTTCTAAAATCTAAGTAACAAAAGCATTTCCATCTGTTTTATTTTTGGAGAAGCTGCAGCATTGAACCTTGAAGTTCGGTCCTATAGGAGTTTTGGTTATTAAACTAAAAATATGTGATTGTTGATTCCTAAACTTGTTAATGCACGTGTTCAAAAAAAAAAAAAAACTTGTTATCTTTTTGGGCTTTGTTAGAACTTCTGTCTTTTAATTGCCCTTAATCCTTTATTTATAGAGCCAAAGTCTAAAAACTAACGGTTCAATTTGTTTAATTTTTAACGCTCATTGTTGTTGTTGTTTAGATAATGGTGGTGTTTGGTGTGTTTAATTAAATCATTTTGAAAATATCTTGAAACCGGACAAGGTACATGCTACATGCACATGGCGCTTTACCGCAATGGTGAAAAACAATTGACGCTTATACATTTGAGTGCGGGGTTTGATCCCAACCATCTATCATTCTGATCCTTTATTTAAAAAGCTTAGAGACCACTTAACGAAGTTGTTTAATAGATAGACCAAAATAATGGATGGTGGAAAATCTCAGGAACCACTTCTATTGATTTTAAATTTCAGGGACCAAAGTTATGTGTTATGAAAATCTCAGGGACCATTTTGGCTAAAAAATCATAATATATATCATGTGTAAGTCTCTCTAAGCATAGCATTGCATTGTTGAACCGAAACATCATGATAGCTATACACCCGTTTCATGTAAGTTGATTTCAAATCAAACTAACTTATAGAAGGTGATGTATGTCATGTACTATATTGTAGATAAGGCAACACGTGAAGGCATTTAGTTATTGAAAGTATTGTCTAAACGACTTTCTGGACCTTGCCATCGATGGGTGAACACTCAAACAATTAATCTTCTGCAAAGAAAACGACCAAACTACACAATAGCAAACGCACAACAAAAAACACAGGAATTTATAGAGGTTCGGCAATGTGTTATTCCGTGATCCCACACCCTCCATAGACACAGGGGTACAAATTTTCATTAGAAGCAAATAACAAGTTTTGTTGACTAGAAAGTTCTCAAACTTTTAGGTTTTGATCTCTCTCACATTCTCCAAGTGTTTCCCTCGTATTTGTAATAATTTCTTATAAGGTCCTATCATGTGTCATAGGCCCTAGTTATTTTTTACGCGTAATATGCGGGAGATTATCTATTTAAATTATATTTTGTATATCATATGACGTGGTTGTTGATGATTAAGTTATTATTTAAGTGTTTATTAACTTGTTTATTTTCTATTATTGGTAACACATTACATAATTTGCAAATTTGACGTAAAAACTTGGTTTACCTAACATTATCCTTTACAATATGAATCACAAAATATTCAAAAAACTAAAAAGAAACAAAAAAAATAACGTGAATTAGGCACTCTAGAAATTGAAAATCTAGACACTCAAGCGGACAAAAATGTACTCATCTTATAATAAGGTCATGTAATGAGTGAAAACAAAAATTAAAAATAAAAAACGAAACGGTAACCAAACGTTTGTTTAATTTACATGGAATGGAATAGTAAGGTTGTTCGCAGCAACAAAAATGGGTGAATAGACTGAATAATGGTGAGATATCTGCCAGGCATTCAATGAACAAAACGAAAGCTGAAGAAGAAGATAAATGGAGTGATCACATGGCCTTGCTCTCTCCATGTCTGTCTGTCTGTGTGCTACGCATATGTTATCATTGGCTCATCTTCCATCTTCCATCGATAAGTATTAATCTAATCTGCAATATGATTCGGCCTTATCTATATAATTAATTAATTAACTTAATTAGTGAGGCAAACGTATGGGAGCAAGTCATCATTTGTGCCCTTAATTCTAGCGGCCATTTGCTCCCTTTTCTTTAAGCGTTCTCTTTATATGATGAAATTATAAAGATTCTTAGGTCCAAGTTTTAGGTTCCATCCAAGTTTTCACCCACAAAACCAATGAACAAGTACATAGAAAATGTTGGGAGTTCTATTTGTTCTCGTTAAAAATAATAATTGCGGATGGGATCCAATCGTTTGACATGTTATTGGTTTAGATACGAGGTTTAAAGCTTAAGTGATTGAAAATATTTCTTGTATTGACGTTCAATATTTAATTATCCAACCACAATATCGCTTGTATAAAAAAAGGTTCAATTACAAACAAACCTTTTATTTGTCATGGATTTGAATTTTCCTTTATCCTAGAGTGTGATCATGTTTCCACACCCAAGATAGCATGTTTTTAATTAATCGTTTGATTTTCCTTGGGTTAGATAGCTAGATGTGTGTTTCATAGTTCTAATGACCAATTTAAATTGCTACGTTTTTAAAACGTGAACTAAGCTTGCCTCGTAATATAATGGTTAAGAGGAACTTGACCCACCTCCACCCACCCACCCAAAGAGTTTATAGTCAAAATGTCAAGTCAATGCCACTTGTTTGCTTCCCCACTCCTTCAATATGACCATACAATATGAAAAACGTGTTATCTTTTCTCTTTAAAATATTAAAAATACAGTATAGGTAACAACTACTACAAGTGTCAACTGCGAATAAAGTAGATAGGACTTATATCTCATCTCACCTAGAAATTGAGTATACATTAAATCGGCATATGATGTTGAAATTGTCTATCAGTCATCTTTGGCTTCTGCCAACGCATAAATTGTGCGGGTATCTGAAAAAAAACACTTTACACTCTACAGCCAAACAAACTAACGACGCAGAATATTTCCAATGTGGAAGTGCTTTTTAGGTTTCTCACTCATTTCTCATGCTACTTGTTTTCGTTTCGGAAGATAACCCAAAGCTTTTTTGGTATGCAACCTCTTCATCATCATATCAACTTATAGGCCCTTCAATTAATACCATAACTTATCTTGTATTTTTGGTGCCTCAAAAGGGTCAATAAAGGGGTAGTTCTCACTAGAATTTTGATAGGCGTGTGCCTATAAATAAGAGAATTTTCAATGCTGGTTCCTATTCACCCTTTAATTCCTACAATTAGAGACAACCGGCCTCAAATTCACATGATAGGATTTTTAGTACATGCACGAATGGGATTAAAATCACTTAAAATACTTACAAGAATACAAGATAATCGTAGTATAATTGCTCATGCATGGTTGTTATCCCCAAAGATTGTTTGACTAATTTGTAATTAAATTGACTCTTAATTAATTATTAAAACAGATTTTTATCAAAGATTTGAGATTTTGGAATTTTAATAGATTAATTAACAATAAAAGAAATTTCAAAGTTTGAAAATAATGGCAGCAAATAGAAAAACATTTTTAGAATTAAAACAATTATGAGAAAGACTAGGGTTTAGCCATCACCGTTAACAATCATATGGAATTCTATCAACTAAGTATGAATTTTCACATACATGCTTTGAAGGTTAGGTTCTCCTAATGCATATTTTCCTCGTGATGTTCAAGTGAAAACGTATATCTAACATGCAATTCATCTGTGATGCTCAGATCAAATATAAACATGCAAGACTCCTTAAGTTTTGTGAAAACTCTTTGAAAAAAAACCATGTAACCCTTAAAAGCGTGATGTTCACCCGTCAACTTACAATTACTAATCACAAGAAACCATCCTCAATTTCAAGGTGATGTTCCAAACAGAAATTGAATCAAATTACTTGTCTAATTACCCTAATGGTGGCCAATCATTAAGTCAATTAGATAGTTTATACAGGTGATTAATAATTCAAAGTACGCATGCATCCATGGTCATGCCTTGAACCCAATATACGTTTAAGATCGACGCGTATATCTAACAGATCCCGCCTCCGAAATATGTACAAGGCATAACTCAAGATCCAACTGTATAATAATTTTTCGTAAGCTTTATGGCTGCATCTAACCTCCTCGTTAGATTGCCTACGTACCCTACAGGGATCAAGCCATTCGTAGTTCATCATTCACTACCCATCTACATTTACCACAGTACGTTCAAGCTGAAAGATACAACATTCTTCAATCAATCATTAGAACTTGACAAGTATGGAAGTACTAGATTCAGGGCTACATAACAATCCAATATGACAAACAACATTTCCATTTCCTCCATCATATAATCACTATGATTTCAACAGGAAACCTTAATCCACCACATGTAACATATCCAAGAACCAACAAGGCACAATATTATTCTCAAGCCACTTTAAGCAACGAGACTAATCATAATAATAACAATCATATCCCACATCATTCCGCAATCATTCTACTTAATCAATCCTAAAAATCAAAGATGCATGATATCTACAATTACTATGTTATTCAATCAATAAGGTCCCATATCAATTCACAAATTTTAATAAAGGATCCCTACATAATTCCCCACCTGGATTCCCAGTACTAACACAATGAGTCTAATTTACACACAATGTCCACTGTTAACGATTCATATTCACTCGACTCTAAGGTCGGACTACCTTTATGGAAATGAGCAAGCGTAGGGATTCCAGACCACTCAATAGAATCCAACCAAAATACCAACCGACCTCTTGTAATCTCTTCAGACCTGACATCTGTACAATAAGTGCCTACACCATGGGAATGGTACATCGGCATCAAGAATTCAGATAAGCTGCAAAGCTCGGGTGAGTGACAATAATACAAGGATGTGATAATAATGATCAAACCAACCATTAATCACAGTTTACATCTCTTGAATATAAATCCTTCATAAGGAATCAATATTAAATCTTTGTAACTCCGAAGGAGTCACCCAGACATACAAGGGTTTATCTGAAACAAATCACAACAACTCACAATCATAATCTCATACAACAAAATGAAAAGTAGGGTTAGAGTGACACAATTCGGCCGAAGTCTAGATCTCTGAAGCTATCTCAATCAAAATTCAATAAACCCCCAAGGTGAACACGATCCCGGACCATCTTTCAATGGAATCGCGAAGTAGGAGGGATTCTGGACCCTCTTAA